CCCCCCTTTGGGGGGCCCCCCCCCTCTCTTTGAAAAAAAGGGGTTGGTTTCTGCCCCCGGAACAAAAAAAGCCCCCGGGGGGGCAAAAAAAACCAGTCCATGTCGTCATATGATCATTTTGAACAAGGTTTCTTCATTCTTAAGTAGTCTTCATTATACCCAATAACTACTAATGAAACAATGAATAAAATAGAAAATCAAGAAGTGAAATATTTGGCAGTCAATGTGATATTATGATGATCCAAAATAATATATACAAAATTGTCATGATTTATAAGCAAATTTCTTGATGAAATCAAATATAAGATCATACATACAACTCAATTATTTTCATTCCAGAATTAATTCATTGTTCTTCAAAAATATTTTCCCAGTACTAATAATATATGTATTGTGCTAAGTTTTGAAAAAGATAAAAGAGAGGTCTATCTCTCAAAAGGATTTAATTCTTTTTTAAAAATTATGTTTTATGGTGAACAAATTCATGTATTTCATCTATACAGATTTAGGAACACAGTGATACTTCCCACCCTACCCTCCCTCCCCGCCGTGAACCCACCCTTCCTCCTCCTTCCTCTCTTATTCCCTTTCTTAATTTTTACAACGTTCTATTTTCAGTTTATTTTATATTCATAATATTAACCCTACACTATGTAAAGAGTTCAATAAATAATAATAAGAAAAAACATTGTTCCTCAATAGTTAAGACAAGGGCTGTAAAAATCAATGTTTGTCAAAATGTCAATTACACTTCTCTACAATACACTTTTTGGTATTGAGTTACCACAGATCAGGGGAAAAAAAGTATTTGTCTTTTGGGGCCTGGTTTATTTCACTAAGTATAATGGTTTCCAGTTGCATCTATTTTGTTGCAAAAGACAGGATTTCATTCTTTTCTTTACAGCTGAGTAGAATTCCATTCTCTCTCTCTCTAATATATATATATATATATATATATATATATATATATATAATTTCTTTATCTAGTCTTCATTTGATGGACATCTGGGTCGATTCCATATCTTTGCAATTGTGACTTTAGCTACAATAACCATTAGGGTACAGATCATTCTTTCTTTCTTTTTTTAAGATTTATTTATTTTATTATTTGAAGGCAGAGTTACAGAGAGGCAAAAGCAGAGAGAGAGAGAGAGAGAGAGGTCTTCCATCTGTGGTTCATTTCCCAAATAGCCACATTGGCTGGAGCTGTGCCAATCCGAAGCCAGGAGCCAATAGCTTCTTCCAGGTCTCCCATACGAGTACTGGGCACAAGTTTTTGGACCATCTTCCACTGCTTTTCCAGGCCATAGCAGAGAGCTGGATCAGAAGTGGAGCGGCCGGGACCCCCACTGGAGCCCATATGGGATGCCAGTGCTGCAGGTGGGGGTTTTACCAGCTATGTCACAGCACAGACCCCTGGATCACTCTTTCATATGCTGATTTCATTTTGTTTGGGTAAATAGCCAGAAGTGGGATGGCTGGATCATATCCTAGGTCTATATTCAGATTTCTGAGGTATCTCCTCACTGTCTTTCAGAGTGGCTGCAGTGGCTGCACCAGTTTACATTCCCACCAACAGTTGATTAGGGTACCTTTCCCCCTACATCCTCGTGAGCATTTATTGTTTTTATATTTTTGTGTGAGAGCCATTCTAAGTGGGGTGAGGTGAAACCTCATCGTGGTCTTGACCTGCATTTCCCTGATAGCTAGTGATCCTGAGCATTTTTTCATGTGCCTGCTGGCAAGGATTTAATTCTTAAAAGTTCAGGGTTTCAGATCTACATAGTCTCTGTTGTACCTATAAGATTATGCCTTTGGGAATCCTAAATTATAATGAAGGGCAAAATAGTTCCTAAAACAATTCTCAGTGGTTCAGGTAGTGTCCTTAGGACCCAGACATGTCTGATCTTTAAGTATCCCTTTTTCATATGGTAAACATACACAAACACACACTTACATTCACACTCACATGGGGAATCACTTCTCTTCTGAGACTACAGTAGAAAGAGACCGTAATAAATAATTTTCTCAACTCCAGAACTTCAGAATATAAAATACACACATAACACAAACACACACAGAGTAGAAATGTTTCTTCTTTCACTTGTCTCCCAAAATCTCAATAATTCATGTATTTCTCCAGCTGAGTTAAGATCACCATACAAACATGAATGTAACTTAATCTGTGACTGTCTTCAGTTCCTTGAGGAATTCTAGCAGCCTTCAAGGTGAGTGATTTCTGAATCTGCGTTGCATTCTTCTTGTCAAAGGCATGGAGCAGATTACATTAGCTGAGTAGGAGGGGAGAATAACAGAGTTGCCAAATATGGTTATTCTCCTAGCTTTTTTTTTAAAGATTTATTTATTTGCTTATTTGAAAGGCAGAGTTACATAGAGATAGAGAGAGGGAGAGGCAGAGAGAGAATCATTCATCTGCTGGTTCAAACCTCGAGTGGTTGCAAAGGCTGGGGCTAGGCCAGCCTAGAGCCAGAACCCAGAAGCTTTCTCTGGGTCTCCCACGTGGGTGCAGGGACCCAAGCACTCGGGCCATCCTCTACTGCTTTCCCAGGAGCAACAGGGGAGGGGAGCAGCCGGGATCTGAACAGATACACATTAGGATACAGGTGCTTCAGGCTGTGCTTGACCTGTTTAGCCACAGTGCCAGTCACAATTCTCCTTTTAAAAAGGCACAATGCACCCTAGGCTACAAGGCTGTTTGCACATACTGGCTTGTCTTCATCATTTTTTCTTATGATAAAACATTCACATTTCTTTTTTTGTTGTTGTTGTTAAAGATTTGTTTATTTATTTGAAAGTCAGAGTTACAGAGACAAAGAGAGAGAGAGGTCTTCCATCTGCTGGTTCACTCCCCAGATGGCTACAACAGCTGGAGCTGCGCCGATCTGAAGCTGGGAGTCAGGAGCTTCTTCCCGGTCTCCTATGCTGGTGCAGGGGCCCAAAGACTTGGGCCATTTCCTACTGCTTCCCAAGGCCACAGCAGAGAGCTGGATCAGAAGTCAGCAACAAGGACTCAAGCCAATGCCCATATGGGATGCAGGCAGCAGCTTTACCTGCTCTGCCACAGCGCCAGCCCCAGCATTCACATTTCAACTATTGAATCATATCTCTGGTCAGGAGTGTTTTAAAGTAGAAGCATTCAAGGTCCTACACGGTGGCACAGTGGGTTCACCCTCCTTCTGTGGCACCAGCATCCTATATGGGTGTCGATTAGTGTCTCGGCTGCTCCTCCTCTGGGACAGCAGTAGAAGATGGCCTGAGAACTTGGGCCCCTGCACCCATGTGGGAGACCCAAAAGAAGCTCCTGACTCCTGGCTCCAGAGCTCCACAGTTCCGGCCGTTGCAACCATTTGGGGAGTGAACTGGAGGATGGAAGACATTTCCCTCTGTCTCTCCCTCTCACTGTCTGTAACTCTACCTCTCAAATAAATAAATAAAATCATTTTTAAAAAAGCATTCAGTCTCATTAACTGTGAAAGCTAAAAATAACATTTCGAAAGAGAAGAATTTGTCCTGTGGTGGGTGGGAAGTCGTGATGACAGCATTGTTTCATAATTTTGATTCTCGTCTTCTCTTCCTTCAGAGAACTGCCTCCATTTCATGTTACAGTCATGACATTTGAATTATAAGAGCTCTGAAGTTCATATATTGAGCCCTTATATTTTAAAAACTAGGATATGAAGTTTCATAAAATGCACATATGAAGAAAGGAGATCAATTTTATGCAAGCTGAAACGTGCACTAGATATCTGTAAAGTGTCAGGTGGTTTACTTCTCATATGTCCAGGGGGTACTATACATTTTAGCACAGATATTTCTGAAGCAAAGAGCTTATTGATCTTTTTTATCCAATATCCCCTGTGTAGGACTGCCCACCATCACATTATTTGTTCTTTTTCTTTCTTTTGATCAGCACATTCTGCTTCAACATGGCCTTCTTCTTCAGACTTGTGGCTTCTTATCTGCATCTATCCTATTGTCACAACTTTCTTCTTTTTCCTTGTAACACACTATCACACCACATAGTGTCCCCTTACCATTCGTAAATATCTTTGTCAGTCTATTTTCTCAGAGTCCCTTTTCCTATGGACTTAAAAATTGTATTGTGTATTTCCTTCATACTAGAAAAACTTATCTTTGGAGACAACACTTGCTGAGAAGTAGGTAATTCACTCTCTGAAGTCATGATAATAATAGAAAGTAAAACACCATGTACTAAAGGGCCTTCTCACTCATGAAGTTTAAGGTGATAAGCATCGTTATCCCATTGAACTGGACTACACAGTCCGTTAGACTAGACTCTAAGAAAAAAATCAGCTTCTCCTGAGTTATTTTATTTTCACACTGATCAAGTAGGTGGCCTTTTGATGATTTTAGGAAGGAGATTTTGGTTATTTTTCACTTTTGAGAACATTTGTTTGATTTTAGGTTAAATAAAGCTACTGGCAAAGGTAATGATTTGTATTTTTCTGCAGTAAAGTTTCCTGAATCCAAAGGTGGATAGTTTCGAAAAATAAAAGATACTGAAATAATTGTTGGGTAAAACTGGTTAATTTTGAAAGGTGAGTCCACAAGGACCAATGAGATTTGTTAAAATTTCAGGATATAATAAGTATCTCTGAAAAACAATAAGCACATAAAACATAGCAACTATTTAATCAGTTCTTGAAAATCCTTTTGTTGGGCTAGTGGCCAACTGAAGCCTGTATAATGGATTACCTCATAAAAAAGTCCCTAGAGACTTCCAGATACAGATCCAAACGAAGTGCACTTGTATATCAGAGAGCAAAGCACATATGCTTAATGATCTAATAAAAAAGATGAATTAGCCATGGTGGGGAATAAACCCTCCTTGTCAGTTACTCTCTGAACTTTCTTTTCTGTTTATAGAGATGATTCTTTAACTGCTATGCCTTGAGTTCCCAAGAGTAATGATGCCATTTCTAAATGGCACCATCCTAACTCCAGCTTCATTCATCCTAAATGGCATTCCTGGTCTGGAAGAAGTGCATTTGTGGATATCCTTCCCGCTGTGCACTATGTATGGAATTGCTATCACAGGTAACTTTGGCCTTATATACCTCATCCACTCTGAAGAGGCCCTACACAGACCTATGTACATCTTCTTAGCCCTGCTTTCCTTCACAGATGTGCTCATGTGCACCAGCACTCTTCCCAACACCCTCTGCATATTGTGGTTCAACCTCAAGGAGATTGATTTTAAGGCCTGCCTGGCCCAGATGTTCTTTGTCCACACCTTCACAGGCATGGAGTCTGGGGTACTCATGCTCATGGCCCTGGATCGCTATGTGGCCATCTGCTACCCCTTGCGCTATGCCACTATCCTCACTAACTCAGTCATTGCCAAGGCTGGACTCCTCACTTTTCTTAGAGGTGTGATGCTTGTTATCCCTTTCACTTTCCTCACCAAGCGCCTGCCATACTGCAGGGGTAATGTCATACCCCACACCTACTGTGACCACATGTCTGTTGCCAAGATATCCTGTGGTAATGTCAAGGTCAATGCCATCTATGGTCTGATGGTTGCCCTCCTGATTGGGGGCTTCGACATCTTGTGCATCACCATCTCCTATACTATGATTCTTAGAGCCGTTGTGAGTCTGTCATCGGCAGAAGCTCGACAGAAGGCCTTCAGCACCTGCACGGCCCACATCTGTGCCATTGTCATCACCTATGTCCCAGCTTTCTTCACCTTCTTTACACACCGCTTCGGTGGACACACCATCCCTCCCCACATACACATTATTATGGCTAATCTCTATCTACTCATGCCTCCCACAATGAATCCTATTGTGTATGGGGTGAAAACCAAGCAGATACGAGAAGGTGTCATTAGGGTCCTGCTTAAGGGAAAAGAAAAGAATCCTCAAAGATTTAAATAGAGACCTCTGAGAAGTTAGAGTTCTCTTAACCAGGCTGAGATCACCAGTCAGTAGAGGAACCTTCAAATAAAAATAATATTTGTGGTCATAGGAAAGATTTTCCATGTGACTCCATGTTTGGAGTTTATTCTTATATCCCAAGTTCTCATGTCCTATTTTCTGTCTCAAAATTGCCAGCTGTAAATCCAGGGACTATTTACACATATGTTCACCTGAAAGCTTGTGAAAGATATGTGTTTCAGCACACTAATAATACGCAGAAATGGAAGATTCCACTGATGCCTATCACATTAATAGATAATTGTGGTCTAGTCAAATACACTGGTGAGTGAAAGAGGAAAAGGGTCAACATTATATTTTTTTTGTTTGTGCAAAATTCAGGAGCAGTCAAAGCTATTATGTTATTTTAGAAATGAGGATCTTTGCTTTTAATAATGAGGGGCCAGGTAATGAGAGGAGCTTCTGAGGTACAGCCATTGATTGACTTTGATGATGGTTACTTCTTTACTTCAAGCTACGCTTGGACTTTAGAATATTAACTGTTCTGCTGTTCATAATGAGGATTTAGCTGCATTCTATATGTCACCTGCCTTCTCCACAATCCCCCCACATAGATACACACAAAGTGAATTTTTAAAAATTTATAGGAAATTTGCATTATTTTTAACTCCATTCTCAGTTACTTTTCTGTGATTGAAGCAGAGAACTTCCACTTGGATTATGGCCTTGTCTAAATAATGTCGGAGTTTGTGGACTCAAGAGGCTTCCATACCCTTGGTAGCTCATGACAAGAGCCTCGGGTGATCACTGATGTCATAAATAAGAGTGTTAATAGTTTATTCAACAACAGGTGTCACTGTATACTTGCTTACCATGTAGGATCTCTGTTTTTAATGTGTTTTACTATGAGAATTAATGATAAAACTAGTCTTCAAACAGTACTTTATACTTTGTGTGCCTGTGTGGGCGCAAACTGTTGAAATATTTACTTAGTATAGAGTTAGTCTTCTGCGTACAAAGATAATTTAAAATTAATTTAATGAATTATGGGATGTGAGAGGGAGTAGGAGATAGTATGGGGAAAGAACTGCTATAATCTAAAAGTTGTACTTATGAAATTTTTATTTATTAAATAAAAGCTTTCTATTAAAAAATACTCCATTCTCCATGAAAGTAACAAGGTTAGATCCTCTGTCCAGAAGGCCAGATCTCTAACTTTTAGAATCGTGACTTAAAAACTGTTAAAACAAAGGTAAGATTTTATGTGAACAATTACATAACAATATTTTCCATAATCAAATTCAAAATATGTGTTTTAAAAATATTCAAAAATGCTTAGAAAAATTACTTACAGATTCAAATCTAAACACACCAGTGTGAAAATATATGATCCAGTCTCAGCAAATTTCAATATATAATGCACTTTAATTAGCTATATTCACGAAGCTGAATATTAGCTTTTTAAAACTTAATCATCTTAAATCTATCAAATTGAACACCTTAATAATTAGTTATTTAATTAAATAAACCCACTAGTATTTTAAGGAATTATTTATTTATTTGGAGGGCAGAGCTACAAAGAGAGAGAGAGAGAGGGATCTCTCTCAACCAATGATTTACTCCCTAATTGCCACAATAGCCAGCGCTGGACTGATACAAAGCCAGGAGTCAGGTGCTTCACTCGGGTCTCCCATGTGGATGCAGGTGCCCCAGCATTGGGCCATCCTCCACTGCTTTCCCAGGCCATTAGCAGGAAAATGGATCTGAAGTGGAACAGCCATGATTCAATTACGTGCCCATATGAAATGCCCCACCGTTACCACTACACCACAGTGTTCTCCCCAAATAAGCCCACTTAAACTAAGGTATTATTGAAAATGTATTTTTGTTTGAAAAATGGAAGCCAGTGAGTTACAAAGTCGACAAGAATAATAAAATTTAAGATGAAAACCGTCAGGCTAGGTAATTCCCTGAAAGGTGAAGTAGTAATTTCACTACTCCAAGAAATTCAGTGCATTCTGACTGTAGGTATGATTGTTCCTATCACACTTACAGCCTGCTCCGTTAGACCTCCCATCACCAGGCACCTGACTTTGGAGGAGACCAGTTACTCAGAGAGAACAGCACTGAGCAGCCCGCAATATTTGACATTGTTTTCAAGGGAGACAGTATAGAGTTTTGTTGTAACTTTCTAGGGGAAATTGGGCAATAGAAGTGCTTTAAAATCAGTACTTCTTGCCTCAACATTTATTGTTATGTATAAATTTTTAATGTAATTAATAACAGGTTGGACGTAATTTAGAAGTTTTTATGTAAATACAATATGTTTTCCGTGATCTGCAGTAAGGAATAGAGCACCAAAAGTGTAATATGTAGGACTGAAATGGACATTTTGAGAATCAGTGATTGTTAACAGCTCTTGTCTCAACCATTGTGAAACAGTGTTTTTTTTTTTTTTCTTCTTACTATTTGTTGAACTTTTTATTTAGTGTCACGTTAATCTTATGAGTATCAAATAAACTGTAAGTAGATCACTGTAAAAAATCAAGAGAGGGAATAAGAGAGGAAGAAGGAGGTGATAGTCTAGATGCATATGTGGGAATGAGGGTAGGGTGGCAAGTATCACTATGTTCCTAAATCTGTGTACAATAATTTGTTCACTTGAAAAAATTTTAACAATTAATTTAAAAAATTTTAATGGAACAAATTGAATATACATATATATTTCTCAAATTCAATAATTTTTTTAACTTTTATTTAATGAATATAAATTTCCAAAGTACAGCTTTTGGATTACAATGGCTTCCCCCACATAACGTCCCTCCTACCCTCAACCCTCCCCTTTCCCACTCCCTCTCCCCTTCCATTCACATCAAGATTCATTTTCGATTCTCTTTATATACAGAAGATCAGTTTAGCATACATTAAGTAAAAATTTCAACAGTTTGCTCCCACACAGAAACATAAAGTGAAAAATACTGTTTGAGTACTAGTGAAGTGAAGAGAAATACACATATTATATGTTTAACTGCAGGTATCAGTGATATAATAGCTTATGAACAACATTTAGTGATTGAGAATCACAATAATAAACATTTGAACACTCATGAAATCACACATATATTTAAATTTGTGATTGCCTTAAACAAGAATATCCAATGTCTGGTCCTAACAATTGGCTACTTTTGGCATGAAGCCACATCCTAAATTACTCTTCTTTGGAGACCAGCTATGTTTGAGAAGTCCCACCACCAGAACCCACCCCCCCCCAAATATCTGCTTTCCCTTGGGGCTCTGTGGTCTCTCGTGCTTTCACACCTTGTTTTACACTGAGACATGAGTCTCCTGACCACGTGAGAAATTACACCTGTTTCCTGTGGGAACTCAGATGGACGAAACACATCGGATCCAATGATTATAAGGTGACGCTGACAGCTGCCATCATGTACATTCCTGGCATGAGCACCGTTCACGTTTCTTCTGATCTGGATCTGTATTGTGGGTGAGGGGAATTTTCTGTCTTCAAGATCTTGTCCCAGGCTTATTGAACATCAAAGCTTCATCTTATTGCACTTTGTGTCACCACAGGGATTAAAAGTAGTGATCTACAGAAGATATTTGTGATTTATTTGTTCAGGAAAACTAGTAAGAATGTGTTCATGCTTATTCAAGGCGGAAATAGTAGTACTCGTAAGGTAGATGTGTTCCTGGTGGCCAAGGTACAGGTGAGAAGCTCCTTCAGCTTATAGAACACTCTCCTTATATTTACTCATTTTGTCAGATATATGCTGCAATGCCAGAAATAGCAGGTTAGAAAACAACAACCCTAATACCCATGAGACAGAAAAGATAAGTAGGTACATTCTTTCCCTCCAAGTCACTAGGCTACACCTCTGCATTCTCTTCCCTTTCTTTAATTCAGTCATACAACTTGGCAATCAGCCAATACAAGTCCAGTTTAAAAGCTGTTTCATTTTTGGCCCAGGTACTGTCCACATCCACAGGGTAGGTGGCAGATTTGGTCCATATATTTTTTTTTAACTTTTATTTAATGAATATAAATTTCCAAAGTACAATTTATGGATTACAATGGCTTCCCCCACGATTTGGTCCATATATTAAAAGAGCTCACAAGTTCGCAAAGGAATACTGTAAACGTAAAAGGTTCCAACACAGATCTCTTGTTTATAGTCATTATGAAAAATGGAGAAATTTGAGGGCAGCGGAGAGGAAGAAAGGAAAATTTCAAATACTGAATCTCATTTGGCTTAAGAAAGGTTAGCATGTGCTTGATTCAGGAGTATTTAGCACAGAATTGCACACAAAATTGTGTGTCTTTTGGCAAGTTTTTATAGTACTGTCTTGTTTAGAATGAGAGGCCATGAAAATGCTGAGTTGGTAGACTCACTGTAAGAATGTGATTGTAATTCACAAATTAATGAATAAGTAAGTATATTAGCTAGGTAAATATGATTGCACTTCAAAAAATTCATGGGAAACAATTAGAAAAGTTTATTTTGGTGGAAAAAAATTGAAATACATTTTCATAATATGCATTTTCCATGAACTTTTGAAGACTTTTAGAAGAGAGAATCAAATAGTACTTCTGCTGTTTTTTTTTTTCCGATAGGCACATGAATGAATATTTGAGTTGGGATGCAAATGTGTTATATGAGACATGTATCTTATATATCTGAGACATATATCTTATGCAACATATTTATCTTATATATGTTACTCTTAACTATCTTGCATTTATATGCAAGACAATCCTTAAAACACTTGACCATACATACAGAAAGCCCTGCTAAGTGTCAAGGGATATGTGCTTGGCACACACAAGCTTGGAGCTTAAAGGATTTTTAGAATTTTAGCTAGTGAAATTTATTTAATTTAGTTGTGTTGCATTAATTATCACTTTAATGTGATTCTGTGATTCTACCAATCTAATATATCAATAAAGTCCTTTTAAAAATGAAATACTAGTCAAATACTTAAGGTATTCAGGGTCAGTCATAGGACTTTGTATCACTTAAAGTTTGGGTTTGATGTTTCTGGACATTTCATTCCAGACAACAGCAGCAGCGAAGAACAAATGGTATCAAAGAAAGAAACTAGGAGTTTGTTTTCTGCATCCAAATTTTGGCTGACTTCCTCTCAAAGACATTACAGAAAGGGTTGTACAAACACCTGATGAGCTCTGTGTCCTAGCACCTAAGTTCCTTTGAAAAGAGTGGTGCAGTGCTAAGTTGTTGCCTGAAGCATGTAAGAGGGAAGTAAAATAAAAATAGTAAAGAAGCAACTTTTCTAACTTTTTCCTAACTTTTAAAAAGTGAAGATTTTTCTAGAGAGTAGGATCAAGTAATAATCCAAAGGACCCTGTTTTCTGTTTTAAATAGTCAGAGGCAACCATGGGTGCCACCTGCACATTGTGTCAAATGGCTGGCTGGCGTGGGATAAGGGAAGAACAGAAGAAGCACCAGTGAGGACATGGATCACTGTACTTTCACTAGACCGTGAAGATCAGGTAATTGACCTATTACCATCACAGGAGGGAAAGGAAATTGTAATTGACATGACATGCTATGGTGTGTCGTATTATGTACACGCTGTTCTGTTTTCATTATTTTACTTCCAACATGTGCC